ATCATCATATTATTATTATTATTGTTATTATTATTGTCACTATTATTCAACTTAGCCTCTGAGAAGGAAGGAAACAAAAAGGCTTTTCAGAAATAAGGCTTATAATCCCATCAAGCGGTTCTGTATAGAAGAAAGCCAACGATAGCTTGTGAATACAATGCCACATCATGGGAATCAATATTAAACAAAACAATAGAGAAATAAATATATTAGTCAGTTGACTTAAATATGGTTTTGAAAATGACGCACAACAGGACGGGTAAAGGCTTTATTTTCAAGAACGTCGAGTCAATTTACATTATTGTAATGACATTTTTGTCGGAACAGCAAGTGAAATGCAGAATTAAAAATAATAAAACAATCACACGATAATAATACATTCCTTTCCAAGGAAACAGGAGAGCAGTCAAATTGGTTTCCCTCTCAAAAGAGTTTTAAGAACAAACTGACCAAATCCATAAGGAATTTGGCTTTTGAAAAAACAAGCATTGCAGAAATCTTTCAAAATGATCAACCCATCCCAGTCAAAACATTATGTCATCCAAGATCTGATTCTCATCTCGGCTATGTGACGACATAAGCATCGTAAAACTGCACAACAAACTGTAATAATATACATATAAATTATGCTACGGTTATAAGCAATCTCATGCGGGTGTGTGTGTGTGGGGGGGGGGGGGGGCTCTCGTTGTCTCGAGGTATGGTGTTGGGCTCTATTTCAATAGGTCCCGGGTTCGAAACCTGACAGCGACGGAACGTTTCTGTTCTAAAATTGTCTCTTTTCACCTCCCTTCCTGCGTCCTAACCAAGTTATTATGCTGTCTCATTTCGTCTCCACTTTCGCCCCCCCCCCCCTTTTTCCCCCTTCTCTGGGCTCCTGACACCTTTTGCAGTTTGTATACTGCTACTCCATGGCTCCTTCTTACTGCTGTCTTTCAGCCACACCCTTGATCTAAGGGTAGGTAAGATCTAACACAAAACCCTCTCGGATAAGGCAAAAAAAAAGAAGATCAGGTAAGTCCCGAGTGCAAGTTGCCAACGTTTCATGTGTCCCTCGCACTCATATGACCTAATGCAGTTGCAAGCGTCGTAAACACTTACCAACAACAACAACAAAAAAAAACCTCAAAAGAAAACGAAACAATATCGCTGTTTGTCAGGCTGATGAGCCAATCGTCCTTTGTACATAACAAAAAGGAGGATTATGACTGGCGTCTGAAGAGCTGTGTTGAATGCAAAGAAAGTTAGCTCGATTTCCGGCCAGGGAAGTTATAATATTGTCAAGCATCTCCGTCTCTGTACAGGAAAGCTGTTTCCAACTAAATCTGTCTTTGACTTGCTGGGTCGAAGCAGCCAGTTTCCTGAATGATTTTAACTGTGTAGATGAGGGTGTAAGAAATGAAAAGAAAAAAGGAGAAAATTGAATGCTTGGGACTTACGGATCATTCGTGCAGTCAATCCTCTCCATGGGACCCCTCAAAGACATGTCATAAAAAGTACCAGATGCGCAGTTCGTACCCTCGTCCAGGAACACATGTAAGCTGAACTTGGCTGTGGATGGAGATGATTTTATTATGTCCGGGCTTCTGTTGGTCCTGTCAAGACGCGTTGTAAGCTCAGTAAATATCAGGCTTGGGTATAGTGCAGATGGTTTTTATTCGAATCCCCATCAAGGTGTTTTAAACGTGAGTTGTTAGGAAAATTGTCAAGGTTCTCTGCCTGTCTATCTATCTATCTATCTATCTATCTATCTATCTATCTGTCTGTCTGTCTGTCTGTCTATCTGACTGTCTGTCTGTCTGTCTGTCTGCCTGTCTGTCTGTCTGTCTCTGTCTGTCTCTCTCTGTATATATATATATATATATATATATATATATATATATATATATATATATATATATATATATAATTATATCTCCGTCTGTCTGTCTGCCTATCCCATAAATTCTTCTACTCTCCATGGACTTTTTGTAATACGTATTGTGCAATTACGTTTCGTGTGTGTGTGTGTGTGTGTGTGTGTGTGTGTGTGTGTGTGTGTGTGTGTGTGTGTGTGTGTGTGTGTGTGTGTGGGAGGGGGGGGGGGGGGGGGGAGAATCTTGTTTTTACTTTTATTTCTTAAATTTTCTCCTTTAAAGAAGTGGAAATTTTTGTTTTGTTTATTTCTACTATTCTTTCTTTCTCTTTCACAACAACAAATAAATAAACATAGGTCTGAACTGTGTATTTGTAATTTGAAGATGATACAAAAGTGAGAGCGAAACGACTGCGAAACGGGCAGGGGGGAGTGTGAGAGAGAAAAATCTAGAAACATGAATGAAAGAATGAAAAGCAAAAGATGAAAAAAAAGGGGAAAAAACGATAGAAAGTAAGAAAGAAAGAAAGTAAAAAGGAAGAAAGAAAGAAAGTAAGAAAGAAAAAAAGTAAAAAGTAAGAATGAAAGGAAGTCAGAAAGAAATAAAGAAAAAAGTAGGAAAGAAAGAAAGACAAAAAGGAAGGG